TGTGGGCTCTTGGGAAAGAGTCTCATCTGGGAATTAGTAAAAAACAGTACCGGCGGCAAGAACTCCTTTTTCCATGAGCTTTGGCTACTTTAGGTCATTAGTGTCTCGTCAACTGGATGGGATATTCATTCTTAGGGCCTTGAAGTGGAAGAAGCCCCGGCTGACTAAGCCAATGAAGAGAGAATCAGGCAACGTACTGAAATGGGATGTGAAAGGTGAAAGCCTTACCCAGGATCTTCCACACTCTTTTAGAAAGCTAGCGCCCTGTCAGCAAAGCCCCCTTTTTTTAATAGTAATATAAAACCATTCCATTGGTTGGAAGATACTGGTACGTCGATACCAATCCTATGACCTTCATTCAAAGCTTCCATTCCTATTTCGGGAAAGAAGCGTAAGGGAAAGGTAAGAGGCCTCCTAAAGAAGAAGAAAACCTTCCCGGGCATCCTGACCAAACTACCAAACCACTCCTCAGTACCTTCGAAAGCTCTATCTAAGCAGCTTTTTCAATATAGCCAGTGTGCCGTGCATGTGTATAAGCCACAGAAGAAACTTCCAAAGGTCTTTGCTCTAACCGGCAGCCGGGGAAGGCTTTGATGGGAGTGCTTTCTTTTCAACGACATAGTCAAAAGAAGGAGGACTTTCACTATCCCGCCTCTGCCCTTGGTCTGTCTGGAGAGCCTACCAAACGAACTAGCCTGCCTTACCTAACTAAGTGTAGTCAACATCCTCTTCCTTGGGTGCTGCTCCTAGCTCAAGATCTAATCCCTACGGTATAGCTTCTCACTAAGACAGACGCCTATCTTCCTCGCCCTCATCTCTGGGCGCATCCTCTTCCTCTGGCTGGTCGAGTTAGTAAACTACCTCATTTAACGCTCGATCTGCGATCTCTCTTTTTCTTTTTTTCATTAGACTTTCTTATTTAAATAGCTGCAAGCAAGACCAAAACAGGGTGCAAAAAACCGAAAGCCCTTCTTTAAAGTTCTTCCCAGATACATGGCTTACATACCCGGCTCAACATTCTTGGAAAACAATCGAATCGAGGGTTCGGAGGAGAATTGGCCATTCAATCTTGTAAACTAATCGAGACCGAAATTGGAAAAAGAGATACGAACGGAGAGAAATAACCAATCGATGAAAGAACATGAAACAATTCTGTTTCAATAGAGGTACGAGAAAGCGTTGGGGGCAATAAAGTAGGTGAAGTGGTTGGATTTTGCGAGCTGTTCCAACCACTACTGGATGTGATTCCAAGAGCCGAACGAGAATGAATACCACACATAAGAGTCAAAACCAGGCTCCCTAATGAAATGTTTAACCAATCCATTCCGGATCGACCGAATTGGTACGGAAGTTGTAACATGGGAAAACCACGGAAAACACAACTTATTTGAATAACCCGGTGACCTACCAATTGTAGAAGTAGGATCTTTGGCAAGCAATAAGCACTTAAATAATACAATTCGAGTGTACCATCTTCTTTCTCATTTCGAAAAAAAGGTGCGGGAGGAAAAGGAAACAACGAAGGGATCCGAATCAGACCTAAATGGGAATGACATGAAAAGTCTTTTTCAAAACCTAGCATTAAGGGCGTTACGACGATATACGAGAGGAATGAAGAAAAACTCGTGATTGGTGTGGAGGGGAAGATCTGTTTATGATATAGTTCAAGAAAGAGTCGTCTCATTTCCTTACTTCTTCGTTCTTTCTAATTCATTCACTTCAAGGCTGGTTCTGAACGCCGCGTAACATCATCTTCAACCAACCTACACCGTACGTACCTTTCGGTGCGGTCACTAAAGAATTGCTTATACACTAAACAGCTGCTTATATACGGCTTACTAAAAGACTTATTTTCATTCATTAGGCCAGCGTTAAACTAAGAAAGAGAGATGTGCCTAAGGCGGCATGCAAGCAAACTGTGCACGCTAAGAAAAAAGGAGAGATGTTCGCAATTACTACCACAAGAAAGCCGCCCCCCCATACCCTATCTCTAAAGAGGCCCGAAACTTCGCCCCCCTTTAAGATTGATTCCTTTTAGCTTCTAGGCGATAAGGTTGGCACAAAAGCAGTGAATTCTCTTGCTGCGCTTTCCACCCATTCAATCTCTGCTGCACTTTATCCACTATGAACCTGAACGTGCTCTTGTTAAGCCTCTCATGGAGAAGAGGCATTCCCCAGTAACGGCCCAGGTT